TTTTTTTTTTTAATTTTCAAGCACTGTTTTCTTCCTTTTTGAGTTAATTTATTTCTTTTTCTAATTTAATTTTTAGATTTCATTAAAAAGAAAAATATTTTTTGTTTTAATTTGCTTTGACTTTTAAAACACCTTTTTTATTTTTGTTTTATTTGAATTTTTTTAATTTTATTTTCTTTTATTTATTGGTTTTTATTAAAAATAGTCCAATAAGACTATTAAAATAAATATTAATGCGCCACAATAACAATGACATTTTTTTATGTAATTTAATTTTTAAATAGGTACTTATTGCTAAAAGCCGAACAGCATAACGCTAAGACCTGCTCGTTCGTGGATCTTTCGTCTTTCGAAAGACTGTGGTGCGTTGAATAAATTGATGGATTTTTGTTTGCATTACATACTTGTTTTTAGATGGGAGTGGCCAAGGTTCACCTATACCTTCACTGACATCCTTGGTGCAATTGTACCACATGCATATCTCTATGAAAAATATAGGATTTTTTAAACTCTTTTGTAACATCAGCAACTAGTAATATTAAAATATACAAATATAGTACATACATACATCTAGTACAATCATACAGTACCAGGTTGACCGAGATTTGCCCAGAGTGCATATATGTACTTTTTAAAGTTTTCAAGATTTGGATAGCTTTAAAAAAATATTTTGGAAATAAACAAAAAATAGATTTTCGATATCTAATAAGTAAATTCCTCTCTAGTCTAAAATTTAGGTGGAAACCCTATTCCGAAATACGCTGGAATGAATGCTACATATCTTGAGCATATGTGTACTGTGTATACATAAAAAAATGTCGATTGAAATTAACAAAATAAAAATTTGTATTACATAGAACCCTGGCAATCCTGATGGAAAATATTTTCTGACCAAAGTTCTCAACAATACCTTTCATTTGATACCCATATTGCGATGTTTTAGATAAATTGTGTATAATCGGAAATAAGTGGCAACCTTACACTATCATGCTAAGAGATAACATTTTATATATAGAGAAAGCATTGTTTAAGAACCTTCTTTTGGTACCCATGAATAGTAATATTTTACCTTTTTTTGTAAACAAAAAATTAAATAAATATGCGATTCACAATAGGTGGCAACCTTAAAAAAATCTTTTTGAATTAGGGTTCTTTAAAATAACTTCCATTTGATACCCCTATTATGATGTTTTAATTAAATTTTAACTAATTTCGAATAGGTGGCAAGCTTGTACGAGTCTTCTCGGAGATAATGTCTATTCAGATAACCTTAGAATCCAAAACATTATCTGTGTAAAAAAATTTCATCAAAAATAATGGACTATGGTTACAGTTTAAAAAACAAGGCAAACACCAAGTGGTACCTACAGCTGCACCAAAGATGTCAGTAGAAGGGGGTGCAAGAAAGTGTGTGGCAGAAGGTTTAAAACTGTTACTTAGGGTCAATTCAATTTAATTTTAATAAATGAATGTGTAAATACAGTAGACGCTCACAAATTAGAACTCTTAGTAATTAGAATTTCCAGAAATTAGAATCACCCTAAAAACAAAGTGGTTCTAATTTGTGAGCGTCTACTGTACCAACAAAAAAAAATCGCATGCAATATTATTATAGCAAAAAATATATCAACTAGGTGAGATTGCCATTGCAAAAAAATAAATGCAACTGCACTGCTTTTGCGCAACAGCATAAATGTGTCTTTAAAAAAAAAACCCCAGCAGCAAGCTGAGAGAGTAATAGGAGAGAAATCAAATAGCGACTGAGCTTTTCAAGATAAAACAAAAAAATTTTAAAACTGAAAGAAAAAATCATACAAACACTCTTACAAAATGTAGTTGAAACAATGGCAACAATATGCGCAGCAAACCATGCAACAAAGCCAGAGGCAACAACAACTAGTCGCACGAATCAACAAACTACTATCAACAAAACAAAGCTTCGTCAGAGCTAGTGAAGGCGGCAGAGGCGGCAGGTGCGGCACATACGAGTACGTATGTACGTACAGCGTTGCACTTGAATTGATAAGAAACGAATGCAGTGTTAATACATACATATTTCACTGTGGGAGCACTCTCGCATCTCTCTGCTTGTCTGGTCTGCTCACTGGCGCTCCACAATCGCAATGGCGCACAGTGGATGCTGGCTGGTGCTCCCCAACATAGAGCTCCAGCTTCCTTTGGAGACTTTTTTGGTAGATGCTCTCATCCGTTTGCTCTCTCGCGTCTTACAGCTGCTGCAGCATCCTTTGCTCTGCCTGTCTGGCTGATGGCTGCTTTGCTTTGTTGTTTGTTTGGTTGATTTGTTGGTCAGTTGGATGCTGCCATTGCCGAGGAGGCTGAGGTTGAGGCTGTGGCTGAGACATTTTCGTTGCTCTGCCGCACTGCTCGATTTTACAGTTAATAGCGTCAGTTAGTTAACAGCGAACTTTTAATTGAAACGGACGTGTGAAGCGGGTGAAAATTTCGTGTTTCGTTTTATCAAAAATCGTGGAAATTTGTGAAAATTAATTTCAGCGAACTTGGCAAATTAGTGGGCCAACCATTTAACTATTGTATTAAACTTAAAAATCAGGATATACTTACATACATACATACTTGAGTGTGTTTGAGTAAAGATTTGTTAGCAAATATGTTGAAATACATTTTATGAAAATCCAATAGTGTGCAAGCTGTAGCAAAGCCTTTACTACGAATTCCTTTGCTGTTGTTGGTGCGTGAGTTTGCGCGTGTGGTGTATGTAAACAAAGATATCCTGCGTGGAATTTACAAAGTAATGGACATATTTGTTTGAAACTGTGAGCTACGAAAAAGGTGCGGCAAATAATAAAAATCAACCAAGTATAATACACTTAAGTGGTTGTTGGAAATTCAAAAAAAAAAGCATAGCAAGAAAAAAGGTCGACTTAGTGATAGACACAAAAAACATAGAACTATTTGCAAACGAAGCGAAATTAAAAACTTATTTAAAAAAATTAAAACTAACATTAAAATACTTAAAACTAAGCCCCATTTTCTCAAGTAGCTTTTAACAAAAATTTTGTTTTCAAAAAATGTGCCTAAAGAGCATATGAAAAATATGAAAGTCACTTGACAAAATGACCTTAGGAATGAATAATTTATTTCAATTTAATTTAGGGCCGTTTTCTCCAGTAGGTTTTAAAATTTATCTGCCCTTTAAGCACAAATTTTGTTCTAAAAAATGTATTTAAAAGGCAGACAAATTTTTAAACCTATATAAAAAGACGGCTTTTAATTTTATTTTATTTCTTTGCTATTGCCGCTTATTCTATGCCACTTTAATGCGTTTCATAATATAAAAGTAAAAATAAATTAAAAAAGTTTTCTCTCCAAATACATACGCACGCAAATTAACGACAAGTTTCGGGACAAATAAATGAGTAAAAATATAAGTAAAAAACCAAATGAATAAAAACAAATAACTATACCGGTATAAAAACAATTACAAAAATATTTAAATATCATAATTCATAAAACTACTTTGAAATGAGAAATATATATGTACCCATAATATACCTTTAATAATATACCTTTAAATAGATAAAAAATAAAACATTTAAAAATGCATGAAAAATGAACGCAGATGAACCCCATATAAAATATATCTATGTATATTTATAATTGTTCTGAAGTCCTACCGATTTTACTACTTGCTCTACGTTTTGAAAACCCAAAAACAAAATATTTAGGCGGGAAATTTTTTAAAAAGGGTTTTGCTTAAGTAATAACCTTTAACATAATTTTTTTTTTATTTGAAGTGCAAATACAATTTTTTAATGTAGCTTAAGGGACTTTTGAAGGTTTGGCTTTAAATTAAAAAATATTAAGTTTCCCTTGAAAAATTTTATATTTTTATGAGTTTTTTATCAAAAGGACATCTTGAACTATTGGAACCCGGTGAAATATCGCTTTAAAGGGAAAATAGCCTATGTCAACTTAGGTTACTCCAATTGACGGACACAGATATGTACATTAGGGGGGAGTAATGTGTTGGGGGCAAAATTTTCGAAGAAAGTATGTATATAGCAAACTCAAATTTTACGTTTAAGGAAAAATGTCGAACAAACTATATACCAAAAATGACGTTTGACTCTCCCAATTTTCAAAAGAAAGGCAGTATAAAGAAAACACAAAATTCTTTATATGAATAATTAATTTCGTTCGGAAAAAATTATAATACACTGATTTTTCTTTTAAAAATTTGGCGGGTCAAGCGTCATTCTGTAGAATTCGAATATGCCATACACTTTTTTCGAAATTAAATAACTCCATCCTAATGTACATAAAGTGTGTGCCACTAAATAACTACTAGAATTAAAATATATCGATTATAAAAATTCAAACAAATTAATTGAGTAAACAAAAAATTTGACGGTAAGAAAAAAAATTTATTTTAAATGAAATTTTGTAAAATGATTGAATAGACTTTGAGAAACGCAACAGCGAGCGATAAAAAAAATATAAAGAACTCTTAATTTCGTTTCTTGTCCGTGCCAACTGACGCCAATCGTAAATGTAAAATGAGTTCTTCTCCACCTTGTCTTCCCATCCTGCTGAAATTTTATTAAGTACTTAAAGAAGGTACATCTAAAAACTAAAATCTGAATTCAAAAAAATTTGGATAATTTTTTAAATTAAATAAATTTAAAAATTTTCATAAGAAATAGTCAAAAAAATTAGATTTTTAATTCTAGTCCTTAATTATGCATTTTCGTAATAAAATTGTCAAAATAAAAAAATAAACAAAACTTAACTAAATTTAGCTTTTAAGCTATGTAGGTACATTTATGTTTATCTATGAATGTTTTTTGGAAAATAATTTTAACTTTTGTGGCGAATTTATTTAAATGTGGTCACATTGTTTATTGAGTTAAAAAATTGCAAGATTTGTTTTTTTTTTTTAGTTTTTAAATAAACAAATTTTTCTAGCCCAGTCAAGACCGGACATGCACAAAAAATGTGTTGTAAAGTCCGCTCATCTTCAAGGCAGAGCTGATATTCTGACTGCATATATGGTCACACCAATTCGGTGCACTTGAAAACGCTAACGATTTTCAACCGTTATGACTCTCGAAGAAGACCAACTATTTCCACACAGTTGTTCCAGTCCCACGGAGACAGTTGAAAATTATTCTTGTGTTAACTCTTTGGCGACCTCGTTACCTTCGACTTCGCAGCTATCTTATATCCAGCACAGTGTTACCATATTTCTTGCTGCTAAAAGTTGAAGCGGCTCAAAGAAGTATTTAAAAACCTGGTTTTGATTATTCTGTTTAAACAGAAAAAATGGCCCATGAATTCATTACGAAGATTTAATTTGACACAGGTTATCATTGATAAGATCAACCAGCCGGGCAGAGGCATCTCTCCCATTAAGAGTCCGGATATTCCAGGTGCATACCCTCAAATCATGGACCTTAAAACTATTGCCGAGGTAGTCATCAAAAAAAGGGGGTCTCATCCGTGGCCGTTTGTTACTTTTAATGGGGCGGGGTTTTATTGTAGCGGGACGCAAACCCAGCGCTCGCGAAGTTTTACGCCTCCTAACTTTAGCTCGCTCCCAAACGGGCATTTGGTCGCTATCCAGTGGATATAAATATCCGGACATTGTAAGCTGCGATTTGAACCGTACACACAAGAACCACTTCTGGCCACTCCAAAATAAATGGGATTCAAAAGCTTTTTCAACCTTCGTGGGCTTTTGCGCACGGAACCATCCTCCCATATAATTTCTTACCAATTCGACTATTCTAACCACTCTTCCTTTTCATCCGTGAAAAAGTATAAAAGTCTGCACATCGGAGCTGCAAGTTTTGTGCCACGTTTATAAAAATCAGCTAGAAAATGTCTGCCAAGAATACCTGTATAAAGATTCTTTATATGTGTAGAAGTTGTCATTATGGAGTCGAATTTACAGCTTCCTCCTAGCAGCTGTTGCTTGAAAAAGAGCTGTACTCGCAACGTCTGAGACAGTCTTATCGAATATTTGGTGTAACTATAACTGGAAGGTCATCTGCGTATCCAAAGACATCGTAATGGAGTCTGATTAAGATCGCTCGTCTACCACGATAGGCAAAAGGTAGGATGAAAATAACGTCCCTGTGGGCAGGCTTTGATGGTTTGAAGGGCCACTTGAATGTTGCCCATAGACGATGTGATTTCGTGCTCACGTAATATGGCATCGATCTAATTGATATTAAAAGGTTCTATAGATTTTTCGTGCAGATTTAAAATAGATCAAGAGGAACATAAAAACAATACGTTGGACGGCATGTAGTCTGAATTGCTTTCTGTACGAGTTCTTTTGTGCCTGTCTCCGACAAAAATAAAAATAAAAAACACTCAAATTATATTTTCTTTATTTTTTTGATAATAATTAATTTTTTATCGCAAGTTTAGTAATTTAGAAAATTATTTCAAAACTTGAGTTTTTGGAGATTTCATCATACAATTAATAAACTTGATAAGGAGAATATATTCAGTCTAACAGATAACTAAGCTGTATGAATTGATCAAATTTCGATTACGTTTTCTCACAAAATTGGAAATCTCTACACGGTTAAAAATTTCGGTTTTAATTTTAAACTTTTTGGACTACATATATGACCAAACTAAATTCAGTTTCAAATACAAACCTTCCAAGTTTATAAAAAAGAGAGCACATATGTTGGGTTTAGAATTTAAACAATTCGGTTTAAATGTTAAACCCAAACATTTTCATAATTAAAAAAAAAAAAAAAAAACAATCTTAAATTTCATGCTCCGTCTGGTTGGGATTGAACCCGGACAGCCTTGGTAGCAACCAATTGTATCAAGCATCTTTGCACACTCAGCTACAGCCACGCATGTAAATGTGCTTTCATATGTTGAGTTTGAATCAACACCACAATTCGCTGTGCAAACATATTCTATTTCGGTTTAGATTTTAAACCAAAGTTTCTATATTTGAAACCTAGAAACTAGAATTAAAACATTTTGGTTTGATTTTTAAACCACGAACTTTTTGGGCTAAAATTTAAACCAGAATATATTAAAAATTGCGTAAAACTATTGACTGGTTTAAAAAGTAGACTATACAAGTTTAAAAAAGGCAGTAGTCCCAGCGCGGTTTAAAAATTAAACCCAAATTTTTGACCGTGTACTGCCGCGCCTTGCTGCCTAAAAGTAGGCAATGCGTACATTTACACACGCCGACCACATAAGCGCTGCCATCGTTGGCGCTTGCTGCCAAAAAAATGCGCACAATAAACGACAGGCGTTTGCGGAAAATTAAGCAATGCCAAATAGTTGAGCTTTCAACTGTTCATAACTGACGTTCATTGCTCGTTTTTTTTTTTTTTGCCACTCTCGCGCTCAAATTCTCCGCGAACATGTGCTCTTCTCTATCCAACAATTTAATCTCAGCGTTTTTCAACTGGGGGGCTTACGCAAGTCTCCAAATTTTACTCGCATATTCGATTTTAACAGCAAGCTCGTCCTTTCTATTGTCCTACCGCACATATCCTTGTGGCAACAAACAGCGTTTGATTTGTTGTTTGTGTCCTAATGCAGACTTTTTGTTTGGTCTGTCGCCTGTTTTGCTTTTAGCACTGTTTGTTTGTTTGTCTGTCTGTCTGTCTATTTGTTTATTTGTAGATGTATGCGTGCATTTCATTTGTTTGTATATCTGTCTACACGTTCGTTGGCTTTTGTGTCTGCGTTTGTACACGCATTTACATATATGTGCAGTTCTTACATCAAACGCTCTTCATTCCTAGCTTATTCAACGTTCCATCATTTGGTGCTTGTGCATT